GCCACAATATGTGGCCGTAGAGGAGATGAGAGAGTACATCTTTGTCTGGAGGAGTGTAATGGAGGTGGTGGTGGTGGAGGAGAGTGATGAAGAGGGATGTCTACTTCTACAGTTTGTTTGGAAGAGTGTGATGGAAGCGGTGATAATGGTAGCGGTGGTTGTGGAGAATGGTGGGATGAGCGATGGTGCAATAGTCAACGACGATAGAGAAATTGGATGAACAACAAGAGACAAGAAGTGGGTGAGAAACATAGTGAACGTGACAAGTTAAATGTGTGATTGTGAAATGATATGTGACTTGTGTGATTTGCAATTTAACACATGATTGTGACTCATAAGTTGTGAATGCGATCTTATGTACCTGATTTATAAATTGTGTGGTATATTACTATGACCTATTTAATCAAATTGAGAAATTAATTAGTAAACTCTACCCTAATGTGTGATGGGTGTAAATTTGCACCCCTCTAATGACTCTACACGTAGCATCTCTCAATTAAATTATAGGTCACATCAAAGGTCACATATGCGACCACCTATTTTTGGAATTTTTCATAAACTTTTTAAATTTGAAATTGTATTCTAAAACATTTGCCATTAATTTTAGCTTGCGTCCCTGTCATGGTCATGGACATGGACAGCCAAGATTTTGTTGGGGGCGTCGAGGAATTAGGATTAGTATGTGTGTATGGAATGGGACCAATGGGTTGCTTTCACTTGAGCCTAGCCTTTAGTCAATCCCAAGTGGTACTAGAAGCCCGGTGAAATTAAAGGCCCAATTATCTGAGCTTTTCTTCTTGCCTGCCGCTTCAAGCTTGTTGAAGTTGTTAATTTGATCACACGTTTTTTAATGGGTAACCACTCTGGCTGAGATTACGCCATGTGGATAATTGTCAACCCTAAGATCAGTCTTCCTCATCGTTCTATTAAAATCAGTGTTGTGAAAATCGGATAGGATATAGCGAGAAAAGTGAAAGGATTAATTGTCGAAGACTCGAAACGATGTTGAATTGGGGTACTGTAGATAAATAGAAAAATAAAAATAAAAAATGTTTTTAAATTAATGATTAAAACCTGATTTTTGAAATATGAAACTTGAATTAGAATTTATGAAAATGGTATTTTAAAAGTTGGGTTAAGTGTAATTTCCTCTGAAATTTTCCCTTCACTTGAGCCTAGCCTTTAGTCAAGCCCAAGTGGTACTAGAAGCCTGGTGAGATTAAAGGCCCAATTATTTGAGCTTTTCTTCTTGCCTGCCGCTTCAAGCTTGTTGAAGTTGTTAATTTGATCAAACGTTTTTAATGGGTAACCACTCTGGCTGAGATTACGCCATGTGGATAATTGTCAACCCTAAGATCAGTCTTCTTCATCGTTCTATTAAAATCAGTGTTTTGAAAATCGGATAGGATATAGCGAGAAAAGTCAAAGGATTAATTGTCGAATTGAGCTTTGCTACAACTTAACCCCACGAATCGATAGTTAAAAATAAGAAAATAAAATTTGAAATAATAAACAAATATTAGATAATTCTAGTAATTAGAGGTCTCTTAATTATATAATTATAAAAATATAAAATAAATCTACTTTTTCAATATGAAAAATATGAAGTATCAATATGAAGGAGAAAGTTGTGAGTGCAATTAAAAATAACAGAAGAGGATGCATAATAACGTAACTTCACTCGTGTTTGGTTTTGTTAAAAAATTGATAAAATGTATAGTTAAAGAGGATGTATAATAATGTAATTTCGCTCACGTTTGATTTCGTTAAAAATTTGATAAAATATATAGCTGAAAATTTAATAATCATTATAAATTCCATAACATCCATGACTAAAAATATATTTGAAGAAAAATAAATTTTAAATGGATTATGTTATTTGTACATTTTTTATAAATTAAGGGTGACAATATTGGCACCATTTTATAAATCTCAATTGCATTAAAGGTCCTTAATCATTATTTATTGTTATATTTATGTTCCTAATTTTTCTTTCTCATTATTCTTATCTTTAATCTTTCATTAGTTATCGCATCTTATTTTGAACGACGTTTCCTTCATAAATTATCTCAATATGATTTAGTCCCTGTTTGGTGGCCTTAAAATTTATAAAATATAATTTTATAGTATTTTTTGGAGAATGTGTGGTTGAAAATTAAGAATTTTTTATGAATTTACATGTAAAATATTTTACTATGTGAATGTGTGCTTGAAAATGAGTATGAGAAATAAATTAAAATAAAGTAAAGGGAATCAAACATGGGCTTAAATATGAGGGGAAAAACAATCTTTTTACTCTCTCTGGGAGAAATTTTTTGACGAAAATCATCAAAGACAAGAATTGTTAATTAATATAAGATTACGTTGAGAATGTAATTAATAAAGTTTGGAGTGAGAATGAGTAAAAATTATGAACTTTTCATACAATTAATATGTGGTGCACTTATAGAAAATATAGTGCAAATATATTTAACTTAAACAAATGTTTGATTTTAACTTGAAAATATAAATTTATCCAAACAAACCATTAAACCACTAACAAATATTTAAAAGAAAAATGAAAAAAAAATAAAATATGAGGCTGCTTACATTACGGCAGTTTAGGCCAAGAATTGGGCCTGGCCAAATTTGAGGCCATAAAAGTGACAGGCTAAAGCCATCAAACTCAACGTGGCTTGTCCGGATGACACTTCCTTCAAAACATTACACAATATAAAGGCCAAAAGCTGAAAAGAAAAAAGAAAAAAAGAAAAATGGGGGAAGAGAAGGGAAAGTTTGAATCCATCAGGGAATGGATCGTGGAGCACAAGCTTCGAACCGTTGGTAATTATATCAAAATCCCATTTTCACATCTGTGTTTATATATGTATTTTATATGTATATGGCCTTGAACTTTTAGTTTTCTGGGGAGGGGGGGAATCTTCAGTTGCCTCGATTGGCTACTGGAATTATGGGGTTCGATTGCATACAATTTTTGTGCGTGTATGTGTGTGTGAAGCCTTGAATTTTTGTATTGATTTTGTGTTGAAATTTTTTTGAAGGGACTTTATGGGCAAGTGGAATTCTAGGTTCGATGGCATACAATTGGTCTCAACCCAATATGAAAACTAGCGTCAAGATAATTCATGCTAGGTATACTTTTCTTTTATACTATTTGATTTTTTTTTTTAATTGTTTTGGATTAATTTTGTGAGCCTGTGAAAAGTGATCAACTATTGCAACTTTTAGACAACGGTAGCTTGAATGGTTTGGTATGGAACCCTACCTTCTTTGATTCATTTGACAATTGCAATTTCTTTTTGGTTAATATGCCTGGAATTATGCTAAATTATGTTTTCATTTGTTTTGTGCGTGCTGTATTTACCATTTTCTTTTCGTTGTAATGATGCTGTAAAAATGTATATGTATGATTAACCAAAGTTGATGGAAATTGAATTGGTGGCTATAATCATAGAATTAGTGTGAATGTAATGCTTAGTCAAAAGAAAAAATCTATTTTAAAGATCCCAACTAAGTTCTTTTCTGCAGACCAGTGGTGTTGATTCTATTTATCTGAGTTACAAAGGCCAGTTATGTTTATATTATTGAGTATTAAGAGGACAAAACGTGCTTAAGATTATGAATGTGGACGCATTAAAACAGATAAAAGTGTCTGTGCTGGAATAGATAATGAAAAAGGTAAGGATACGCTCCAATTTGTAGAATGAGCACTAATGGAGGACGAAATAAGTTAAAAGACAATTTAAATGGTTTAGACATGGCTTGTGTAAATTTAAATTTCTCCTATTCACAAGAAAAGCACAATTGTTGTTGAACTTGGTGGATGTCGTAGAGATTAAACAAAATAATAGGGCTTGAGACAGTTGAAAGTTGTAATTTCGTTAGATATCTTAGAAGGGATAGCTCTTGAAATGGCGAAAAATGCTTCGTTTAGCTGATTCTAAATGTATTGAGAAAAAAACTTATGTGTTATAGTTGTTCTTGTTATTCGTTTGTTGGAGAACTAGGGGTAGGCACTATTCGTCACTTATTGATTTTATTGCATTCTACTGAGTTTTAATTTCTTCGAGCCATCGAGGACTAGATTTTGAGAACCCTACCCTAGTTGTAAATTAAAAATGATTATAAAAGAAAAAGCTAGGTTTTGGATAATAACATTGGAAGCTAATTTTAATCATGGTGTGAAGCTTCACAACTAGAAGACAAACAGATTTACTATGTAGTTTGTTCTTGACATTAGGAAGGATTTGATGCAAATGCGAGAGCACTTTTCTTCAACTACAACATAATAGATATCATGGTGAATGGTGATCTTAATAATGGAGTGTTGTTTTCTATCTGTGTTAACAGTTTGGAAACTGGGAAAACGAAAGAAATGATAAGCTACCAAAAAATATAAAGCTAATCATGAGCTACTTAGAAGGGTGAGGGATGAACTTCATAAGAAAATGAATAGAATAAGAGAGGTTGGGCATGATATTGGATGAAGAACTTAAGAAACTTTCTGTTCGGGGAATTATGATGTCTGATGTGAGCGAAGGGGGAAAGGAAGAATACAGTTTATAGCAAACTCTTTTGTAACAATATTGTGTCATTGGCATCTATTATTCAATGAACTTTGATTTATTACAAACCAAGCAGAGAGAGGAGATTTTGTTCTATTTATGATCCATTAGATCTATGTGAACTAATGCAGTCCTCTTTTCAGTGTTGAAAGATTTTCCAGTAGTTATTCATAGAGTGCTTATTTTGATAGACTGTACCCTGGTTGAAAATCAACCAAAAATTTGCATGTGCTGAACTGGTTCATATTGATTCTAGTCTAGGAGTTTGCCTGTGAAAAATGCCTCAGTTACCTATTCATTCATGTCTTAAGCCATTTCATTTCAAATAAATCATTTAAGGCTATCACATCACTGCTATAACATAATGTCTTCGGAATTCTGTTTACACGGAATAATACTACTTTTATATAAGAAGTTACATAATGGTTTACATACAGATGATGTGTCAAAAAGATGGAGGAATTTTTTTTTTTATTTGGATGAAAAAATTCTGGTTCAATGAGATCTTACCACATCATGTACATGTAAACCATTATATACATGTAGCACAACGGGTTTACACGAATGCATATTACCTTTTTTTGTGAAAGCGAGTATTTCTTCACCGTTGGATGTCTTGATATGTTACATGGTTTTTGTTACTTATGTCATATCA